GGTATGTTTTTAGTTGTGTTTAGGTTACTTGGCATTCTGTATGCTTGGGTTACCTGAATGTCAAATTGTTTTCTTATATTTGTTAAGTTTTCTATTGCTTCTGCCCATATTTTTTAATGTTATTTGTATTGACTCCTTCTTTCTCATTGATACCTATTAGTTTCACATTGTTCATCTTTGCATCATCTTGCAAATGATGGATTATTTTTTCCTGCTTCCTAGTTGTTTTTATAAGATCTTTTCTTATCTTTTCACCAGCTGCACCAGCATCTTCAAGATCTGAAACTCTGTCTTCACTTTCACTTAAACGGTTTTTCAAGGTTGTGATTGAGATTTTAAGTTCCTCTATATCTCTTTGACTCTGCTTCATGCGATCTATTTCTTTCCTGTATTGCTCATTCAAGGAATCTGTCACTTTTCTAATCTCCTCTATTTTTTTTTGTCAATGTCTTCTTTAGAAGCAGTTATTAATTCTTTTACTGCAGAGTTTTTTTCAGATTGGGTTTCCTCCCTATGTTTCTGTAGTTGATTCTTCACTTTAGATGTTATGAGTTCAGAGTATTTTTTTTATTTCACAAGGTAATTGCACTCTGAGTTCCTCTATGACTTCCTGCTGTTGCTTATTTACTTTTGATGCTATTAATTCATACATTTCAGCTGAGCTAGTGTCCTCTGCACTTGTTCTGCGTGGGCATTGGGTTTCGTCCATACATTTCTGCCTTTCATTCTTTACTGCAGATGCTATTAATTCACGGGTTTCTTTTTTCATCTCCATTCTGAGTTCCTCTATACCTTTCTGCAGCTGTTTCTTTATTTCGGAAGCTATTGATTCATTGATTTCAGCTGTGTGATTCCCAATTTGTTCTGTGTTAGTGTCCTCTGCACTTGTTACGGGTGGGCTTGAGCTCTGAGATTGCATTTTGTTCCTTCTCTTTGTCATTTTGTGTAGCACTGTCTTCTGATCTTTGTTGTGGAGCTTTGGTGCAGTTATAACCTTAGCACCTATTGAAATTCAGGTGCAGATCTACAAAGTTTGCATTTATCCAGCTGTTCCTGGCTGGGGTCTGGCTGCTGTGCTCAGCTCCTTCCTGCTGCTGCCCTTGGAAGTGATCCTGTTGTGCCCCTCTGGCAAGATGTTCTGCTCCTGGACTAGTGGGTGGTTCTGTCCCCTACTCTCTGCAGGGACTGTAGGTGCAGAGTTTAACCTGAGGCCTGTATGCCGGGCCTGAGCTGAGCCTGAAGGGGACAAGGTGGAGTAGGGGGGAGAGGCAGCTCTCCCACACACTCACCAGGCCTGGGCTAGGGCTGAATCTGGGGATCCCGAGAATGCAGCAGAAGTTCTCACTCACTTTGCGGGAGTGGAGTGGACTGTGCCATGGTTGTGGGGTGTCCCAAGGGGTGGAAGAGGGTTCCACCCACACTGCGACTGGGCTTGGACCGCACAGGTCCCACTAGCATAGGGTAGCTGGAAGCTCTCCCACACACTTACCGGGCCAGGGTCAGGGCTGGATCTGGGGGTCCCTAGAACGCAGCAGAAGTTCTCACTTGGTGGGCGGGTTTGTGTGTGTCGGGGGGTGCGGAGTAGTTCTGGGGTGTCCCAAGGGAGTTGAAGAGGGTCTCATCCATGCTGCTCCTGGGCTTGGACTGCACAGCACCCACCAGTACAGCGTAGCAGAAGCTCTCCCACACACTCAATGGGCCTGGCCTGGGGTAGATGTCCCAAATTTTCTGATCAAGGAAATTATCGGGCCATAGTGATGTAGAGTGTGCCTAAGGAGAGTCACATCAAGAGAAAACATTCTTTCAGGCTTTTACAGAGAGCGAATTGGTCAAGCAATGGCTGTGACTCATCCACAAGACTGACACTGACAAAGGATCTACAAACTGTGGTATAGGGTTTCAGGATAAATCCTAAGGGGATTTGACTTACCTTATCAGATACAGAAGTTACATTTCTTTTTATATAGGTCTTACTTTATCTTAGTCTTAACTGTGCAATAGAAAAGTATAAAAATGAATTACAAAAAGTAAAGCCATATTGATATGCTGAGTTGTGAAAGACTAAAGTCAATGTCTGATATTGCCAGTCTTAAGAAAAACCCACTACTATTATGGACTACTGGACTATATTGGGATATTTTGCTGAGTTCACTCGCCTACAATATTTAAATGACAATGGAAAGCCTTTCTCTAACAAAACTAACAGATAAAGGGGGATACAAATAAATGACCATTTTGTTTATGTATACTCAAAATAGTATAGATATACAGCTGCATTCTCTTAATTCAATGACTAGAGAGATTTGTTTGAGTAGTTTTTGTGGACAGGATATCATGTCTGCATCTTGTACAATGAGTAACCACTAAGACAACAATATGCAATGTATGAATTACTGAAACTGTGCTAGTAATTGGTTTTGAAATTGTCTCATTCCTTTTTGTTTTTCAATGAAATTATTAAAAAAAAGAAATACTAACCACATTAAAAAATTTCCTCCTTTTATTTATGTAGTAATATATATGAACAAGTCACTTGATTACCCACTAACCCGAGACATTCATTAATATTTTAATCTTTTATGCAGAATTTTTCTTTGTATTTGTACATTCATACTGTTTTTACAAAAACGCCATTCTATATATCGTCTTTAAACATTTTCTTAACAATGTTTTAGTCTTTTTCTTTTTTAAGAACATTTTAATGGTAACAGCTATTTCATTATGTGTATGTACCATCTAAAAATATGTATTCTTTACAGTCTTCTTAAAAGGCATGTGTTCTCAAGAGAGATTGCCACAACTGTCAAAAACCTACATATCACTAATCTCTATGTTCAAATTCCCTTGTCAATTATTGTCTTACTGCACCACCCATACTCTTACAAGTAGCAAAATTGTCTTTGCTTTGAGTGGGGATGACTCCTAGAGAGAGACACTTAGAACAGGTTTGTGAGGTCACTCTTTTAAATGGCTCTTAGACAGAAGAGTGCATTTTATGAAATACTAGCTCTCTTCCACTGAGTAAATTATTTAAGGTGGAAAACACTTGACACATGCTACTTATTAAGAGTTAGCTGGGGGCCGGGGAGATGGTTGGGGCTGAGGAGATGGCTCAGTGGAATAAGTACTTCCCTGGCAAGTGCAAGGGCCTGAGTTTAATCCCCAGTTCCACCAAAAAAAAAAAAAAAAAGAGTTAGCCGGTGGCTACTTTAATTATTCCCATATTAAGTACTAGTCATATCTTAGCTTTATTTGTTGATAACTAGAAAACATGTCATGGACCATAATTCTAAATCCTTCTCTGTATTGTTTGTGTCTTTTATACATCCCAACTGATCAAGTCAAATCCCATCTCTAAATCTTTTTTTTTTTTTTTTTTTCGTGGAGCCAGGGATTGAACTCAGGTCCTTCTGCTTGCCAGGGAAGCACTTATTCTAAGCCATCTCCCTGGCCCCCATCTCTTAATCTTTTACAGCTGTTTTCCTAAAAACTGGATTTGGGCATTTATAAATAAATTTATATAACATTTAAGTAAGTTACAGAGGAAAAAAAATACTAGGCTTATGTTCATGTCTTTGGAGTTGGAGAGGCAAATCAGTCATGTAGAAATATAATGTAAATGAAATTTGACCATTTGACCTGGTCTGACTTTTATGTCATTATTTGTAGAGCTCTTAGAAAGTCTGTTGCATTATAAGAAGGCCACCTCTTTGTATAAAACAAAGAGAAAAAGTCTGGTACTTGACTTTGCAAAAGATTATTAATGATTTGTTGCCAAAAATGCTGACTGCTTCCTTAATACCATCTTCAACTCAAGGTTCTGTTTGGCCGGGGGAAGAGAGAGGGAGGGAGCTAATAGGGAAGGAGGCAGGCAGGAAAGGGAGGGAGGGAGAGAGGGAAGGGGGAGGGAGGAAAGGAGTCAGGGAGGGGAAAGGAGGGAGCACTTTCTTAATACTGTTAGCTCACAGCACATATTATTCACACAGTAAATTACTTATGATTTACCCTAGTATCTAGATTTCTCTCTTTGGAGGAAACTGTAGGGTGGCTGCTACATCACGATTAAATTTAGGTCCTGAAAATAATTTTGATGTGAGAGTAGAAAGAACATTTTTATTGTGCTGCTTCAGTTGTCATATTTGTAAAAAATGTTCGTTACTTCTTTGACATATCTAGGCAGAATGTTATCTTATGGTTTCATTTTTCAGACAGTCCTTTGCTTAGGAAAAAACTATGTGCATCTTAAAAAAGAAAGACCATAACCCAGAGTTACAGGTTAATTAAATCAGAAAAACAATTTAATTCTATAACAGTAAAATTGTCTTCTGAGGAAGCAACCATCAGTATAATATCCACATTAGTTTCCTGTTGATGCAGAAATTATTGTGACAGTGCCAGCTTTTTAGAAACCCTCTTATAATCTTCACACTGCAGCTCTGTTCTTATCACAGCTTGTGAAATTAGACAGGAAATTTAGCCCTGGAAATAAGGAAGTTTTTCCTATATAGCTAAACCTTTGACAGTGTTAGAATATATACTACTTTTGTCACATTAGATTTCCAGATTTCAAGGAGAGATACCCATCATGTCCCAGTTTCCTTTTTTAGGTTCTCTTAGGAAAAGGAAAATCATAAATTATCATTTAGTTGGCATGTTTATTATAATGAACATGCAAATATTCTCTAATTAAAAATAATTTAGAGTAAAACCTGCTACATGATTGGACATTATATTAATGTATTTGCTATTGTTTAATTTTTTCTAAATATTTTATCACAGCTTTATTTCAATAAAATTCAAGAAGTTAAGATTTTCAGGGGCCGGGGAGATGGCTCAGTGGAATAAGCGCTTCCCTGGCAAGCACAAGGGCCTGAGTTCAATCCCCAGTTCTGCAAAAAAAAAAGAAGTTAAGATTTTAAATGGTGTTTTTTTCCCCTTATCCTCTTGAAATATGATTGTTGCAAGTAGCAGCTGTTAACATTTTTCTTTTGTGTTTTTAGCTTACAAATTTGGAGAGAAAGTGGCAGCACCACGAGCAAAATAATTTTGTGATGAAAGAATGTATCCTTTAAGATGTGAAATGATCATGACTGAGTTAATTTTTCTAGGAATTGTTTTTAGAATGTATGCTTAAAGTTTTTATAAGCAACTTATCTATTACAAAAATAGTTTATCAAGCTAAATTACAAAACTATCAGCTCAAGCTATCCAAATTATGTTTTATTAATAAAACAAGTGAAAACTGATTTATCAGGCTTCACATAGAACTGCAAGTGAAGCTGAAAAATTAAAACAGAATGTATCAAATGTTAGACTTTGGGTTCATGCCTAATCATGTAGGATTGTAACATTTTATATGCATCATGCAGAGACTGGAAGCCAAGGCTTTGCCATTCACAGAGATCACTTTTAATAATCTTGTTTATTATTAAAACACAGCCAATTATATAGCTTTACAGTGAATGAGAGACTATATTATTTTCTAGGAAATTTTTTAAAAACCCAAATGAAATACAAGTTAACACTCAATTTATGTTTGAATAATAGTAAAATAATATACTGTACTTAAAAATATTCTAGTTCTTTTTCTATACTACCTTATATTCATTATAAAATACCAATATGATTACAGTCCTTTCTGAGTTAAATTAGAATATTTTTATTGATAGTGTTGCCCTTTAACTCATATAACAGTCATAGCAACCAAGAGTCAAGAAAGTGATTACCAGCAAATCATTAAAAATGTGACCAAGCAGATTGTGGAATACAATAAAGCCCTTGTGGATGCTCTTCGTAGCACCAGCAGGAATGGCGTCTGAAACAACTGATGAGTTCTGTAGCAGTTATTTTCTTGATGCTAAACTTTGTACAAGGTGACTGAAAAATTAAAATATCTTACCTTTTAAGAAGTATATCTAAAATTCCTCAATGCTATATAATTTTTGTGGTCTTTTTAAAGAATGATATTTTAAATCGTGTAATAGTTCAGTAAAGAATTTTCATACAAAAAGTGTTATCTTTCTTGTGGTACTTATATTTGTTTTGTGGGTGATAAAAGTATCTTAGAGAACCAAGAGTTTAAAAAAATGACCACTGAGATTCAATTAGCTGTATAATTTGACTGTGACACCAAGTAAGATCATTTTTTCATGCTGGACTTAGGAGAGAGAGACATGGAATGTCTGATTTAGTAAATTAAATCAGTCTTCTTGGTTTTTCTTTGTAGAGAAAGTAAAATAGGGAGATTTTTAACACGGAACCTTCTCAGAAGGTAAGATTTGATACACGTTATTCAACATATAAAGTCAAAAGTAAGCATATACCATGTTCTGTATGTATCACCTGAAGATCTCGAGTTAAAATCTCTAGTCTTTATATTTGTAAAATATTTTCTCAAATATATATGCCAAGGAAAACACGACATTTAAAAGAAATAGTGCACAAGTGGTGAGTTTTTTTAGGTAGGATATGGCCACTGTTCTTCTTTCCTACCTTGGAGACTGCGTTTAGATTCTTGTTTTATGAAGAGGACCAAAGAAGATGTATTAGCCAATGTATTTGAAAAGAAAGGCTACAAGGGGTAGAATAATATCCTATTCAGATAGCACACACACTTCAGGGGAGAGTGGCGTAGCATCTGGGAGACATAGTGATGACAGACAGCTTCTTTTATGGGACAGAATGTAGTCACTTTGACCAGCGTGAAACATTCTTTAACCACATACCAGTTTACCCCAGGCGACACTTGGGCACTGCATTTGTTTATGTACTAATGATCCCAAGTATCACTTGGGCAGGTATCATTCCAACCAATTGATTCTTGCATGGAATAAATTTGATGAAATTGTCATTTTTATGTTTTCTGTTATATTACCTTATAAAATTCAATGAAAAACTGTGTTTTTTAATCATCCTATATTTAAATAATTGGACTGGTAAGTGCTTTAAAAGCCCAGCCATATTCTCCAAGTAACTATTTCTCATTATTCTTGAAACACAAGCACATTTCTTTTTTTTTCTTTTAAAGATAAAAACCATTAAAAAATGGTACAATATCAAAACAAGACGATAGGAAATTTAAAAATGATTATTATGTTGCATTTTGTTATCTTCAAAGTAGTTGCTCACATTACTATATATAGGCATGTAAGATTGATAAAACACTATAAACACTAACTGTTCTTGTCAGTGAACTAATGGAAATTCGTCATACACGGCTGGGAAGATAGCTCAGTGGCATAAGCACCTCCCTAGCAAATGCAAAGTCCTGAGTTTGATCTCTGGCACCAGGGAAAAAAATTGGTAGTACAATTATTTTGGCTATCTTGTACATATATATTCCTTCCTTGTTTTCTCCTTTTCTCTGTCCCAGTTGTTTTTCTGAACAATTTCAGTTTCTTTCACAATATCTGTTGTATCTTAATTACTCTTTCAGTTTTTTACACTAGGGAGGCAATACAATGTTTACAATACATGTGAGTCTGATTTATTTCACTTATGGTCTCTAGTTGCATCCATTTACCTGTAACAGCTTTTGAGTTTTATCTTTTTTATAGCTGAGTAATAGTCCATTCTATAAAAATACATCTTTTTTTTTTTTATCCATTCCTAAGTTGATAAGCATTTAGTGTGTTTCCAAGATTTAGCTATGACAAGTTGCACTGCTGTAAACTTGGGTGTACTTACATCACTGTGGTCTGATGTTTTTAATTCTTCTGTAAAGATACCCAGAAGGGGAATAGCTGGATAAAATGGGACCTCTAATCCTAGTTTTTTGAGGAATCTCCACACTGACTTCCACAGTGATTGCACCAGTTTATACTTCCACCAACAGTGGAGAATGGTCCCTTTTCCCTCACACCTCATAAAGATTTGTTAATGCTTAATTTTTGATGATAGCTATCCTTTCTGGGATGAGATAAATCTCAGTGTTGTTTTAATTTGCATCTCTCAGATGACAAATGATGTTGAACATATTCTCATGTATTTATTTGCCATTCATATTTCTTCATCTGGAAAGTATGTATCCATCATCAGTTGCCCATGTTTCAATTAGGTCTTTGAATTTTGGCAACCTGAACCTGACTTTTATTTCTTTATATATTCTAGATAGAGGTTCTTTGTCTGAGGGACGGACAGTCAGCTAAAAATGTTTCCCAATTCGTAGATTTTCTTTTTGCTCTGTTGATTTTTTTTTCATGTGTAAAACCTTTTTAATGAGATCCCAGTTTTTGATTCTTTAAGTACTTACCATGCAGTTTGTTTTTTGTTCCAGAACTTTCTGCTGACCCCTATGTCTTCAAGAGTTCTACCTAACTTTCTGTTCCAGTAGACTTAGTGTTTCTGTTTTAATATTTAGATCTTTGATCCATTTTGACTTTAGAAACACTAAAAAGTGTTTTCTATTAAAAAGATAATAAAAGTACAGAAAGTGCCAGTGAGATATCATTTATATACTGTAAACTTTATTCATACATTCTGATTGTATGATTATGTATGTGGCACTATAAATTGGTTAACTTTAGTCTAAGTTTTGGTAAAGGAGTGAATCTTGTTAAGCCTGGTTATCTCTGGGTTACTAGTATAGCTGAAAATCATGGATAGTGATACATTTCATTAAGGTGGCATTCTTAAAATATGTTTCTCAGATCCTGAGTTCCTTTAATTATCAGTAGGTATTATGCTGTCAGGGATTTTATGGTTAGAAGAGTTTGGGAAACACTGTATAGAACAAAGGTGAATTGTTTTCTTTCTTCCTGACTATATATGTTAATAATTATATATTGTTTTATTTTTTCCTAACTGTATATTATATAAGTAATTATATATTAATATACAAATATATAATAAACTCAAAAAGAGAATACCAGAAAGTTTTTTTTTTTTTTTTTTCGGAACCGGGGATTGAACTCAGGCCCTTGTACTTGCCAAGGAAGCGTTTATTCCACTGAGCCATCTCCCTGGCCCCATAGAAAGTATTTCTTAGTGGTATTTGTTCACAAAGTAGAAGCTGAATCATATGAGACTTTAGTTCAAAAAATGATAGACTTTGGACAGCAAATAGATTTTTATCAGTAAAATAGTTTCCTCAAGTCCTTTGGATAGGTTTTTGGCTTATCCAGGTGATTTCTAAGTATGTTGTTTTGTTGCCACTGTAGATTTATTTTACTGTGGGTGCATGGACTTCTCCACTAGAAATTGGTAGCAGAAAATGTTTTCCACAAGAAAATACTTTCTTCAGTATGTAAGGTTCAAAGTTTCCTTTCCTTTTAAAATTCATTTTATATTTAAAAAGAAAAAAATACGAAAAGGTGATGAAAATAAATTAATGTTTTATAGAAATGGGAAAAGAATTTTCAGTGAAGTATAAAAATTGAAAGCACTTCTTTAATTTTGTAATTCTTTAATTGGGGAATAGCTCAGGATATAGTCAGGTCTGTTTTAAGTAACAGAATTGATAATTAAGCAAGGAAACGTAATTTTGATTGTAAAACTCTTGCTCTAATAAATATTCCAGCTTTGCACAGTGGCAGTATTGTAGCCAATGAGGTTTATCCGAGGTGCAGTTATTGCTAATTGAAAATTTTTCTAATAAAAATTCCTTAAACCATGAGGAAAAACAGACAATATTTTCTTGGGAGTCAAAAAAACGAAATCTGAAATTCAGTAGAAATAACAAGTAAATTTTGGTGATAGTTTACCAAATCCTTCATTCATGAAATATTTAGTGTAATTCAGTGGTTAGGACCTTTTATTGTATATGCCTGATCGCTGAAACTTCCTATTCTGTGAGATGACCCAGCATGAGAAAGCAAGTGGCTTAGTCCGGAGAACCAACTCCCACAGTCTCTCACTCACTGATCAACTTTGTAGAATTTCCAGGGACCACTGGGATCTGGGAGACCTATTAATCAGTAGGTAATCTTTATTTTCCTCATTTCAAAACAAATTAAAAAGCATTTCTTTTTGTAAGATTTATTTCTACTTTAATGTTCTTGACTGGTTATTGTACCCTTTCTAATTAATCACCAATTTTTACTATCAGTAATAAGGTTTTTTTTTTTCTGATTGATAGGATTGTGGGTGATTTTAATCTCCAGGATTTTTTATTATTTTCAAAATTGTTTGTGACATATGTAATATAGTTAGAAGTACAATGAAAATTCAAATAAAATTTATATGCTTACTACTTTGTATATGATGTATGAGGGTACTCTGGTTTGGAGATAGTTTAAATGGCTGCTAGGGCTTCCTGTGTTGAATCAGCCCCAGTTGTAAAGCATTATGAGGGTGGAAATTTACTCCAAGTATGGTGTTTAGATGGGGCTGTTGGGATATGATAAGGATTAAAGTCATTAGGGTGGGGCCCCCATGATTTAATCCTGGTAGCATTATATGGAGAAAAAGAGCAAACAGGCACACACTATCTCTGGATCTTGGCAGGTGGTGCTTTGTAAGACTATGGGATTCCATCTGCCAGAAAAGTCATCACTAGATGAGGTCTCTAGACTTTACACCTTCAAACTATGGGTCTAAATAAACCTCTTTGGTGTTGTTTTGTTTTATTTTTGAGACAGGATCTCATTTGGTAGTTCAGGCTGGCTTCAAACTCATGATGATCCTCCTGCTGCCTTGGCCTCCTGGGTGTTGGGATTGCAAGCTTGTACCACCATGTCTGGGTCCTCTTTTTTTTTTTGATAAAGTTGCCTTCCTCCAATACTTCATTATAGTGACATAGAGTGGACTAACGTAGGTAGTAGAACAACTCTCAGTAATTGGGTCAACTAGAACTGAGCCAGTCTTTATTCAGAAAGACAGACATATCTCATGTATTTATTCGAGGGGAAATAATTCAGTAGGATTTCTTTAAATTGAAACATTTTATCTGAGGGAAATTCTCACTAATGTTTCTTCCTTTCAGAACTTTTCAGCAACTCTAACAAAAATCTTCTCTTCTGGTATAGAGCTGGAGAGCAAATGCCAGCTCTTCCCCATTCATTCATATCATTCAGTGAGTTCCATTGGTGTTAAAATAACACCTTGAAAGACCCATGGAAAGAAGCTGCAGACTGAACAAACATGTTGAGGAGTTTTACTAATGAAGATCAACATGGGAAAGCTAGCAGGTCTGTTTCCCCCATCCTTATCTTTTCTCAATAAATAAACACAAGTTCTTGATATTCTTTTTAACTAACTGCACAAAAACTAAACGGACCATGCAAAATTCACTGCAGGTGGAGCTGGGGAGATAGCTCAGTAGAATAAGTGCTTGCCTGGGAAGCACAAAATCTGGAGTTCAATCCCTGGTACCACAAAAAACAACAAAACAAAAATTCTTAGAGACTCAGTGTGGTGGTATGTACCTGTAATCCCAGCACGTGGAAGGCTGAAAACAGGAGAATCACTGTGAGTCCAATCTACGTAGTGAGACCCTATAGTCCCTGTACTAAAACAAAACAAAATTTACTGCACAATGACAGGATTAAGACAGAATAACGATATTCATCCTAGAAAGAGAAGTCTATTAGTGGTAGCCCCATGGATTCTTTGGCTCTGCTGTTTCTCTGTAACTCCTTTTATTGTATAACTCCAGCATAAACAGTCTTAAGGAATTACAGTGTCTAGACTTAAAGAAAAATCAGGAAGAAAAACTTTAAAGTGGAATAATAGTGTTTAACTCATAAGATTGGATCAGAGAGTATTGAAGAATCCAAGATTTTTGACATAAATTATGCTCAGAAAGGTGGCACTATTAGCAGAGTGCAAAAAAGATCATTTCCTTTAGTGCCTGTCAGAATGTACCATCTCATAGGTTTTGCTCTTAAAACAAACAAAACTGACTTTATTACCACAACTAGATATTTTATTATATTTTTAATTAAGAACGTGCAGGATGTGTTTTTCTATTCAAACATTAGATTAAAATGTCTGATTTTAGCCAGGCATGTTGGTTAATACCTGTAATCTCAGCACTGGGGAAGCTGAGACAAGAGGGTCACTCTCGAGTTTGAGGCCAGCCTGGGCTGCACAGTGAATTCAAGGACAGCCTGCATTACATAGTGAGAGCCTATTTCAAAAAGAAAAGCTCTGATTTTAGGTGTTCTATTTAAAAATATTCATCCCTTATATTGTTATGAAAATGGTCAAAGTTTAATACTGCTAATATTTAGAAAACCTTAGATTATACTTTGCTGCCTCAGTGTCTTCTCTCAGTATGATAATGAATTGTGAAAATCTAGCTTTGTGCCTTTAAGAGGCACAGGGCTAACTGTATAGGAGCAACCTACTTGATAACCAAGACTGTTTTGCTTGCTAATTTTTTCTGTCTTCCTGCAAGCCAAGTGACTAAACATAAAGGAGAATCTGTGTCACAGGAGGGAAAATAATACTTGTTGGAGAGTCTAATATACAAAAAAAATTGGAGGAAGAATGAGTCATAATTCAAGTTGTGTGTTTCCTAAAAGAGATTCAGACTCGTTAGATAGGGCTTCTGTAAGGTAAGTAAAAGAACGAAAATAAAATCTTCAGAATTGATTCTTTAATTTCAAAATCTTTTTTTAAAATAGCATTCATGCCATGTTAACCAACATGGTATTGAAACACTTAGATTTTTAGAGGTAAAGAAAGAATCATTATAAAGTTAGCTAATTAAGACGATAGCTTAATTAGAAGACAATAGCTGAGCCAACTAACCAAACTAAATCTCTCATTTTCTGTGTTATCATTTTCAACAGATAAACTCACTTTATTAGAGGAAGTCCAGGCTGGCATGAAGGTGAAAGTACTTGATGCAAACCATAATCAGTCTGATTTTTTTAATCAAAGGAAAATAGAGTTCATCTCCAATTCAAAGGAGAATTTCTCATTCGTTAATTAGTTTCATGTTAAAATGAACTTTCATTTGTGTGCTAGAGGTGGGGGTGTCTTAGTGATTGCCTAACCCCTTCCACCCCCACCCTCAACTCTGCTCCCACCAAGGACAAAGCAGGGACCTTGTGCCTCAGGATTAGGGGAAATGCTTAAGAAGGAGAGGAAAAGAAAATTGCTTTTCCAGCTTCTCCAACTTCCCACGTAGTCCACAGAGAAAAGCAAGCATCCCTTGGGAGGAAATAACAAAAGTGCCAACAGTAGATGGATAGATGAAGCCTGTGTCTCCAGAATGTATGGGAGCTGCTGCCTTTATAGTGTCAATAGGCTTCCATCCATTGCTCCTCCTGTTTATCAGAAAGCAAATGCTGGTCCCCTGCTGGGACCTCTGCCCTTGAACCCATTTGCTGGCTCAGTACCTTTTCCTGCCAGAAATATCAAAGGCAAAGAAGGGAATCTGCTGAAGCTGTCAAAGTACATTTGAGGTAGTTAAATCATAGGAAGTATTCATGAGACCCAAAGACACAGCTAAATGAATAGGAGATACAAGTCTGACAAACCACGCACTTCTTTATAGTGCCCCCTCCACAGCCAAGAAGAACAAAACCTCTAGAAAAAAATTCAGCACTGGATAGTACTTCTATCTATCATTATTTCATGGAGTGTAGACTGGATTTCTAATACAGATTTGCCCAGTGCCCTCTGATTTGTAAGAGTTTTAATTCCTAAACTTCATTACCTCACTGAGCATTGCAGGCCTTGTCTGTCACCAATAAGTCAACATAACACTGAGCAAGTGTTGATGCTATTCACTTAATTATTGTCTCAATAATGAAAGAAAATGGAATATGATTTGGTATGTGAGCTAATGAAAATAATTTTTAAAAGAATATGTCAGGCTGTCTGAAATCCCATACCAAACTAATGTGTTAACATAGTGTGGCCACAGCCTGAGAGATTGTAATGCTAATGAAAAGGGCATTTCCAAGTGAAGACAAAATTCACCACTAGGGTGTTGTACCCCAGTACAATGAATAAAGTCCCTGAGACTTTTTAGTACCTCCTATAGGCCAGACCATATTTCTGTTTTCCAGTAGACAGACTTTATTCCTTCTCTTCCATCCTGATAAAAGCACCCACAACATAAATATGGTTAAATATTTCTTTATTCTTCATTAAAACAGCTGTAGAGCTATAACCTCTTCTTAGAAGACAGGTAGCCCTCTCCTTAGAAGACATGTATCCTTTAATTTTGCTCAGGCTAGTCTCTCACTTCTTGTGGTTGGTTTCTTCCACAACTTTATTCATCTGCTTTATGTTGTTATTGGGCAATGTGGTTATGAAGGGTTGAGTCTAAAGAAGCATTTCTGCTGCTGGCCATCTTGAAGACCTTGGGCAAGTCATTCTGTCTCTTGAGCCTATTTTTAATGGTAAGGGACTCAACTGTGTGAAGTTGCTTTGCTGTATAAAATATATAAATATTATATTTTATTTTCCAAATACTTCCCTCTCCACACACATCTGCATGGTTATTCACTCCTCTTTTCTCAGAGGCTTATGTTTGGAAAGATAGTTTCTAAATTCCTTGTAAGAGAGGTCCCTTCTTCCTCTTCCACTGAGAGAGGTCTCAGTGGAAGACTAATTCCTCCACTGGTACTTATCATTTATCCATTCTAAATTTTTATTTGTTTGTTTTTTGACAAGGGTCTCACTATGCAGTTCAGACTAGCTTTAAACTCACTATGTAGTCCTACCTGGCCTTGAACTCCTCGTGATCCTCCTACCT